TGATAAAGAAATTACACTTATATGTATGTATATCTATACATACATATAAAGTAAAAAATCTGTATGCAGAATTATTTATTATTGGTAATTCTTCTTGTATTCAACTATTTTTTAGTTCGTTACAAGTATTGTAAATATTATGTAACACTAATTTAATTAAAAATATTTTTGTTGTTCTGTTTGGATTTCATTCTTAGTATTGACATTTTGAAAGAATGTTACAATCTCGATTCATACACATAAAATTGAAAATGCTTTCACTTTTAAATACATTTACAATAAACATTAATTAATTGATTTTTGCAATAGCAATAATTCTCATTGTCAGAGTTATTTCTCGGTTTATTTTCATGGTCGTCTAGTACAATTTTCAGGAGTACTGTTTTTGCATATAATTCACCTAGCCACTAGATCGCGGAAAAGCCCCCATGTGTTATTTTAATAATAACCTTATCACATTAACTTCTAGTAACAAATTCAGCACATTATTAAATAATAAAGTTAGCATATTAATACCAGACACTTGGTCATTGCGTTGATTATTTGCTGAATCAGTTTTGCTGAAAATTGCATTGAGATAAACGGAGGAAGCGCACCTGTGTGGATAGTCGTGCAAACATCTGCTATCTATTAAGTGAAACTCAGCAATGCATTATCTCTTCTTCGAAGTCAGTTTATTTTCCGAACGAATTTCTGAATACCACCAAGCTTTCAAAGGATTCTTTGCTAAGCAATTTCACAGAAGACTATTCCTGACAAAGTCAGGACTTGTTTGAAGTTCGAAGGACTTATGTAATTAATTGAATGTTGTTAGGGCGGTAGCTGATAAAGAGATAAAAGTTAGGTTCCAGGTGTTACTCTTATGTTAAAACTGCACCAAAAAATTAGGAATAAAATATATAAAAATTTGATTTGTATTGGTTGATTTTTTTGTCAGTATCGAAGAGATTAGAACTTTATTGATAATCCCGATAATTTTAATAATATTGTATATATTTTATTTGTAATATATTTTTATTTCAACTAAAACGTTGAACAATTACACTTCATGTAATTGTAAATGCACCGTCAAAATTCTTCTATTCCGCCAATAAGCGAAACTAGAACGTTTGTTTTAGAAATTCATATTAAAATGAATTATCCAGATTTCTTAGAGACATTATTGACATTTTGAAAGATTATTTGATTGTCGATTCATATACATAAAATTGAAAATCTTTTCACTTTTAAATATATTTGCAATAAACATTAATTGAGTTTCGCAATAGCAATAACACTCAGAGTTATTTCGCGGTTTACGTTTATGGTCATCTACTACAATTCTCAGGAGGACTGTTTTTGCATATATTCACCTAGCCACAAGAAATAATAAGATCTTCTAAAATATTAATCAATAGCTTGTCGCCACTTCTGATGAATAACATCTAACCCATCTAAATTTATGACTAAATATGCCTCAATGAATACAAAATATTATAAAAGAATTAGAAGGATTTTTGGTTTTTGAAAGAGAAAAAGTTTCATGAGGTTCAAGTCATCCTAAATGCTTGGACAACAAAATAGGAAAAAGCATCAGTTGGTAAATGTGCACACTAGTTTTTGGTGAAATTCGAACTGTTTCTTCGTAATCAATTACTGAAAGAATGAAACATTGCACAATTACAAGGTTCATAAATTGAAAGAGCATTCTAAAAAGTGGTTTAATTACAAAAAATCATTAAAGTTCACGCGGTTAATGGCGATGGAACTTGATTTAAAGGTCTTGGATTTGAGGCCCACTCCGAGCCAGCCTGTTGTCAAGCAGTAGTGACAACAGTTATTACTTGGAAATACATAGCAATAAGTGTCCATAGACCTTGAAAAGATCTTGAAAATAGACCTTGTCCGGCATTGCTGCGCCAATAACAAGTCAGCCCTATTAGATAAATTCTTATAATAACATCGTCAAATATTTATGCATTAACCTTTGGGTAACCATCTAAAAATACGAATTAAGGAGAAGTTTTTGTCAGCGCAACAGCTCATAGGACGTAAGGTTCTGATTGCTGTTAAGATATGAGAACAAAATAAATTAAAGTTCACAATTCGAAATGTTACCGAATACCGAAAAGTTTATGCAACTTGCTTTAAGGCAAAATGCAATTTGCACCTTCCTCTTAAGTTAAAGTTATTATAGTAACAATCTAATTTAGATAAAATATTGTTTTATGATTTTGATAGACAATTCCCTTTTTATATTTCTTTGACTGTTATATAGATTACCAACACAAAATCGTTAGAAATATATTATGTTTCTAATACTTTCTTACATCATGAATTGTAGACTTTTTTACATCATCTCCAAGTCCCAATTATCATTGCCTATTACAATTTATTTGTACCAAATGAATTATAGAATAAAATACCATAATACACCACTAATTGCTATTAGTCAAAATAAATTTTAGACGATTTCAGCGGAAGAAGCATTAGAAATTTCTCATTGAAATTAAAGTAGACAGGAAGCTCGGTCGTCGAAGGCAGACGCGGCACTTAGTTATAGATTCATGACTTGTGACTGACAACGACATCAAGTAGGTATTGTCAGTTTCATATTGTCACCCGATAAAGCATTGTCTATAACACTTTATTGCAACCGGAACGT